CTTCTGAGATGAGCGCCATCGAGAGATTGGCCGCGCGAAAGTGAGTGGGTACCGGAGTTGAGCGAGATCGTTGATTTCTCCGCCACTGTAGACCACCCTGTTGAGCTCCGCCCGAACTAGGTAATTGAGTGGGTTCAGGTCAGGGGACATATTTCAATATTTACATTCGACAGCTACGAAACGCCTTTCATTCGAAGCAGCGGGAGTTTTTCCAAAACCCTTCGATTCCATGTGGTGGCACCCTGTAGCAGCACAAGGTCTCCAAGAAGGTACGGGCGACCACATGTAGGGAGGATATCCTTCTCGAGTTACTTGATGTAACCGCCAGCGCTCACCTTCAGTCGGGGTCTACAAAGAAAATATCGGTCTTCCCATTCCAGGTACGGTGAAGCGTCCACACATCAACCGCGCTTGCGTGAATGGGAGTGAAGTGATGTCCTGGACGTGCGGACGTTGTGGAGAGCATCGATGTTGAAGAGTCGTTGAGATGAGGAAGTACGGTTCCAGGTAGCTATCCATGGGTGATTCCATTCAAGAAGTTCCGCAGCTGTTTGGAGGCCACGTGAATTCCAAAGGCGTTCTCCACTCAGGCCGCGACTGGAGATGACTTCATATTTTGGTGTACATGAAGGTGAATGGCGGCAGCCGGCTCCTGCCATTAGAGGAGATTCTTGGGTATTTCCGCGCCCTGGTCACTCAAGATCACTTCCTACTGTCTGGGGTGCGAAACTCTTCGGACTCATATGTGACTGCCGGCCGGATGACTTTTTTTTGGCTCGCCTGCTATATAGTGGAACTGTGGTATCAGAAGAAGTAATTGATAAGAAGCTGAGTTCTCGCATCGCCTCTTACTTGGCAGTACAATGCTTTGGGAGGTGGGAGAGGACAGAGAATGTTAACGACCTTGGCCCGCTCGGAGCCGGCGCGCGGCGATGGGCACGCGTTTTCTTAACTCGTGTTAACCTGTCTATTGGAGCACGGACTTCATGTAAACCCGTTCGTCAATGATATTCATGAGTTCTAATCACTCTTTCTTATGCCAAACAGGTTTGTATGGTGGAATACTTTATTTACGCCTGACGTTTCGACAATCTCGTCGTTTTCAAAGGCCTGGAAGCATACCGAAACTTTGGAAACTATCTATCCTATTCAACATGGGCCCGCTCTTAACTAGTTGCAATCAGACCAAGGAACTAAAGGAACGAAGGAAACTCCAGCAATAAGTTACCTCGTCACTTCCACCAGCGCCGAACTGCTCTACTTCCGTCACACAATGGAGCAAATGAGACTCACTGCTATGCACTTCATAGTGTGATAAAGTGCGTACGTGCAGTGCATTACGATCTCACTGTTAAAGCCCGCAAAGTGGGATGTAGGGCAAGAAATCGGCAGTCACTGAGATGCATTCATTCCTGTTGTTCATAGATGGATTACGGTGCTTTATCCAGAAAGCCTCGAGAGTTTCCTAGCACAACATCATTTTCGCAGCCGAGGTATGCGTTACACTTGATATCAAAATCACAGCCGCCATGATTTTCCCTCCTATGCTTGCCGAGCGGTGCAACTAAACTTTCGCGTCTTTTGCTAGCCAGGTGTTCTTTTACGCGTATACATAATTGCCTCCCAGTTTCACCGATATATAATGCACCACAGGTCAAACACTGTATCTGGTAAAATTATGCACATTGTGTACGGTCACACTTTTCCATATGGGGACTAGACCACTTTCAGTTCCTGCGTGCACGTCCGGTCAATAGAGCGGATTTTCTTGACAATGGTGTTTGATATTGTCGTTTATTTATGAAAAGGAACGTCGTTGGTCAGATATCAGCCCTACGGATGGGAGGGCGTCGCAATAAAGTATTCCACCATACAAACCTGTTTGGCATAAAAAAGAAGTGATTAGAACTATAAGTACCAAATGCCCAGGTTACAAGAAAGGCGAACATGGAGTTACATTCATGAGTATTTCGCGGTTCAATTTTATTATCGCCTTACTACCTAATAAGATCTCGTCTATTTGGCAGTTTACGAAGTCGCATCGAACACAAATCAGCAGCGGTGAAACTACGATTCTCTTGTCACTAACCCAGCTTTGGGAGAGAGAGGTAGGGTGCGTTATGCGTTTGATGGAAGTTTGTCTGGTTGTGTAGAAAATTTTTTACCGTCTTGTTTTTGATTTTTGCTGTTCTGTGTAATAAATTACCCCCCCTCTTCTGCGGCGTTTCGCTGACAGGATAACTTTTTTGGATGAAAAACTGGAAATGTGTGAAATTAAGGTAAGGTGTTCGGAAGGGAGGTCGTATCGAGACGCGGAGTAGGGTCGTACCTACACTCACTACCATTACACACATCAAGACGCTGTACTCCGAGTAAATTGTAAGGAGTGTAGTGAAGATAGCCTCTTATCTATTCTTATCAGTTGATATTTGATTACCAATTGATGTGGGTGACAGCGTCACCCGTCACCAATGTCCCTATCACAAAACCTTTATGATTTGGGAGTGTGAAAGCTGTGCAACTTTTTAAGGACGACGGCTGCGAGGTCCTTTATCAGCCCATATCAGTTGCTATCCTTTTGTCACTCATCAGTGATATTCCCGTCACATCCCTTATATCGCCTTTCAAAACCAAATTTCCACGCTGCTATTTTATGTGCACTGAGTCAGGGTATACCTTAGGCGTTCGTAATTTCCTATTCAGAGTCTTGTCTGCTATACTCCTATAGCTCACTAGTAATGTCACTGCCCCTTACAGTATCTCGTATCTTAGAGCCAAAGTCCTACCGCTGTAAGGGCCACGGCTATGAACTAATGACAGACAGATATGACAGACAGACAGAAAAACAGAAACAGACGACAGGCAGACAGACAGTCAGGGACAGACAGACACGAATTATCAAACACTAACAGACAAATAGATAGACTCACGACATCATCCACATAGACGACACAAAACAGGCAGACAGACAGGGACACAGACAGACAGACACGAACATACAAACTAACTAAACAGACAAATAGACAGACCCGCACATCCATCCACACATAGACACACACACACACGCAAACACGGACGAACGTACTTGGCTGCCTCTACGTGGTACAATAACTCGTAACGAGTCATTCAAGAAAAAGACACACTGCTGTTGCTGGGGAGGAACAAGAGACAAGGATGAGAGTACAGTAGCCGAATGCAAAGCTAGCAAAACGATAAAAATCGGTGCTACGCAGAGTGAAGGCAATGCGTTACACCTGTGTTAATAGACGTAAGATGACTGGCATATCACGTCTCCCAAAAGAGTGGTGTAACTTCAACAAAAGGATTTTCTCTTGACTAGTTGACTGATTACGGCTAGAGCGCCCCCATCTCTCACTGCTGACTGTGAGCCGTAGAAATGAGAGTTTCCGAGATAGCGGATTGGACATCTTGTAGAAAGGGTTTAGACCTATGAAGTGAGCATGATACATTCCGCTGAAGACAAGCTGCACGCTCGCCGCAGTGAATCCTGATCCTTGCGGTGTCAAGGAAATGGGTTTTCAGCTGCAGAAACGCACTTACTGCGGTCATAAAAGCTAGGCAATGGTTGAGGAGGGCGGTGATGCCCGAATGTCGTCTCCATTCTCGCGCTGCCGCACGGCCAGGCAGGCGCCTAGCCGTAGCCAACGCGCTACTTTTCTGCGCTCCCTCTCTTTTCTGATTGCTCTCTACAGCTGTTTCACTGTGAGACCTTGCACAGACGCAAGTGCTGCACCTTGAGCATAGCCCGCGCTGCGTCGTGAGGTGGCACCTGTGGTCTCACTTCTCTCCAGCCATTACCGTGCAATTTTAAGTGAAGAGGGTTGCATTACCACGGCTGTGGACCCAGTAATCTTGCACATGGGTAGGTTCGTGCTCGGATGAGTCTATAGCTTGTCTTCAAGATCTTAAGCTTCTCGCGGCTTACTAGTCAGGGAGCAGAAGACACCGTGTAGGCTCTATCCAAATTGCGAAACTGACACGTGTGACATTGACGTGACATGAGGCCCCCATTTTTATTCGGTCGGATAGAAATCTCTAGTAGCTAACCGTTTAAACCTACACGTGCTGGGTGTCCTAGGAGTAGGTACTGCGTAGCCGAACCCATTGAGATCAACAATATCCGCTGACTGATACGGAAACGTCTACAACAAAAATCACTTTGCTCTCGCTGGCAAAGCTTGTATAGGTGACGAATCTCCCGTTAAAATATCTTTCACATCTCCATGCTAGGGAACCCGTTCTTTCTCCCAGCCGTCTGCGATTGTAACGGAGTGAGAGTTGTTGATTAAACGCATGGATTAATCAGCTGACTGATATTGAATACAAAAACATATTCGGGCGCAGTTTGGTGACGGGGGGGGGCATTTTGCACTTTTGTTGCTTTACTAGTTCCGGTTTACAAGTAGGGACAGTTCGGCGACGGGCAGGAGAGGGGAGGTCAATACGTCGGTGTGAAGCAGTAAACGCTTTGCACGTTTACTACTTCACATCGACGTATTGACTTACAGAGACTTTTCGTGATTCGACACGTTTTACCATGGCGGCTTGATGAGGTTGCTCGCAGCGAAAGTGCAAAATGCCGCCCCCCCTCCCCACACGAAGAAACCACACGAGTTGTCTCATAGATCGCATAGGTGTGAATGGTCAACAAAGGGACAGAAGTGGCGAAGCCGTTCAAAAAGGGGCAGAGATCAGACATCACTATGTGATAACGAGTCACAAGGAAACCGCTTTGTTGTGTAATGGTGTCATCCTTGTTGGGTGGTCCTCTCTTATCTGTCTGGAAGTATCGTCCAAGTGGGATGAAAATTCCTTCGCTTACTGTACGAGCGCTCGCGGTCGGAAGACAAGTGAGAAGAGGTTCAGCTCAGATTCCGTGACAAAAACACACATTTAAAGAAAGATACTAATAAATTGTTGAAGCTGGGTAGGTTTGACATAGTCTAGTTGACTAGACGGACTGAATTTGAGACAAAAAAAAGATGAAGTTATTTTACTGGCGCATCAGCATAGCTGTAGACCTAATCGAGCATATCAACAATTCACCAGAGGTAGGCTTGTAATGTAAACGTATGTATGTAAACGTATTCACCAGAGGTAGGCTTGTAAGGCGCGTTTCGGCGAGGAGGGGCGGGGGGGGGTTCTCGCCGAAACGCGCCTTACAAGCCTACCTCTGGTGAATACTGTCAACACTTGTAAGGTCATAAAATAGCTCATGAAATGAATTTCATTAGAATTTACAAGCTCTCGCGGGTACTCTTTACAGGAGTCGACAGATGGTCTCTACAAACTTTATCTGGCATCGAATTAGCGAAAGTGCAGTGCCCCCTTCCCCCCTCCCTCTCCTCCACCCGGTCACCAAACTGCGACCGTTGTTGATATGCTCGATTAGGTCGCTATGCTGATGCGCCAGTAAAATAACTTCATCTTTTTTTGTCTCAAATTCAGTCCGTCTAGTCAACTAGACTATGTCAAACCTACCCAGCTTCAACAATTTATTAGTATCTTTCTTTAAATGTGTGTTTTTGTCACGGAATCTGAGCTGAACCTCTTCTCACTTGTCTTCCGACCGCGAGCGCTCGTACAGTAAGCGAAGGAATTTTCATCCCACTTGGACGATACTTCCAGACAGATAAGAGAGGACCACCCAACAAGTGACACCATTACACAACAAAGCGGTTTCCTTGTGACTCGTTATCACACAGTGATGTCTGATCTCTTGCCCGTTTGGGGCCCACTTCTGTCCCCTTGTTGACCATTCACACCTATGCGATCTATGAGACAACTCGTGTGGTTTCTTGTTCTGATAGTTCTTTCTGTTGATGCGTACTCGAGATATGCCAAGTCGTTGAAGGTTACTAAACCGAACTCGGTACGTTTTTCATTACACTATTACGGTAATACTGACTCACGGCTTCACTTCGTGGAGTTCCAGTAAAGAGGTCACATTTGGAACCAAGAGTTTTGCATCACAATCAGGGCACATCACTGGTTGGGAATTTCGTCGAATCCCGTGATCACCCCAGGCTCAAGCGGGCTGATTTGACCACACCGGGTCCGTCGTTCCCCATCTTGCCGACCTCTTTCGTAGATTTTCTGAAATCCATAGTACTACTTTTTCCGGAATCTCCCGGAAATCCTCCTACATTTTCTCCGAAATTGTTTTGCTGTTCGAAGCGATCGAGTGCTTTGGGGGGGGCGGGGGCTATAGCACATTTGGAATCGTGAAAAAATTTTTTCTCAACGCCGCAAATTTCTCATGCGAGATCGCCCGGGGCAACCCTTTGGCAGCGAAGAGAGCGGCAGACGCACGGACTTGACCAAATCCATTCCCAAGCAACGATACAGCCCTGACTGTTGATGCAGAAAACTTTTTGATGCGAAGTGGATCTTCTAAGGAGGCCAAGGCGATCCCCTTCCTCACAACGACAGGAAGTCGATTCCGATACAGCGCCTGTGAAACAGAAGAAAACAACAACAAAGAAAGTTTTCCCGGACCGGAGAAGGACTCCGCTTTGGGAAATTCCCAACATGAAGTGCCTGGCGACTGGACTTCGGGGCACGAATATCCAATGTTCGCGCGCACTGAGGAAATTATACAAGCGCTACCGTTGGCGAGGCTTATCTTTTTTGCCGCCCTCCCTCCTCCTGGGATGGATACCCGTATTATATCGTTGTAATGAAAGGTTCAGGAACAATTCTCAGCTGAACTTTCAGGACGGAGTCTACGCTTTTGATCTGATTGTCGAAAAAAGGCTCACCATGACTTCGCAGGACACGAGCCCATGGCGTCATGGTACCCCCTTAGGACTACTCCCCGGAGACGGTAGGTCACCTATCTCATTATTTCTTGACTTGACCCTGACTGTTATCCTTCAGGCTTCATGGTCTAGGAGGGATCCAGACCAACTTAAAGACTGCTTTGCGAATTATACGCTGAACATTCGTTCTAACCCAGACGATAAGAAATATCTTAAAGATGTGATGGTGCTGGACGGGAAGCACAGACGGGTGCTGACGATTAACGGCAAGACGTATGACAACATGCATATTCACTATTTTTGTTTTTTTTTTCTTCGCTTCGGTTTGGTCAATTTCAATTCCTGATGGTGCTTTGAATTTTTCTGCTTCGTAGCCAGGTCCCTAGAGGCAGTGGGCACTATGGCTATTCTGGCTATGGCTATAGCCTCCCACCAGTGACGTTGGCACTGTAAGGTCACTGGTGGGAGGCTTGCGAAAGCGCGTTTGGCCACATCCCACTCAGAACTTCCATCAATGACATTGGCAGCAACCACGCCCCAAGGCATCGTGCCCACTGCCTTCAAGACATGCTTATCGAGAAGGGAACACCCGAGCTTTGAGGAGAGTTTAGCTGCATAGGACCTCTCCATCCTCCCTCCCCCTTCTTTTCTCACCGAAGTTGCCTCCGATACGACTGTACCACGAATTCACAACCTTTCCGCCATCTAATCAAAATTTCTTGAAATTTGCTACAACAGTGTGGGAAGGGGAGAAAAAATGGACAATCGTGAAAATTCTTCCTGGTTTCCAAATACGGGCCATCCTCCTGTATAGCGGCTATACGATCTTCATAGGAGACCCAACGTACGACCTAACCCCTTCGAGAACAGGGCATTCCTAAGAGTATTTGAGAGCTGCTGCAAATTTGTCATTGAAGTGGCCTGTTCCTGAGACGGAAGGCTGAGAGGTTGGGTACTGAGTGCCTGGGAGGGGTTCGCATGTGCCTCGTTGAGAGGGATCCATGGGTTTGTTGAGAAACATTTCAAGAATCAAAAGAAGATCTGACTGTTTGTGGTTTTGTGTAGGTTCTCACACTCCGCTTGATGATAAAGGTGAACATTTCGGGGAGGGGGTTGTAATGGAGGTCGATTTCGGTTCGGGGGGGGGGGTAGGAGTGGTGATGAGGAACCGATTTTCTTAGCAGCGTGAGGATTCAGCGTGAGGTTATCCCTGACTGTACTGCATAATTGTAAGACTGTCTTTGTACTGTCTATATAAGACACTGGCATTTTCAGACCTGGTGAACCGATCGTTGTACCGTACCAGTCTGAGGTTCTACTACGGGTTCAAAATAAAGCCCTAATGGACGCCATCTCAATCCACGTGCACGGTATCGACAAACATGGTGAGGATTCAATCAAGCTTGAGTGTGTGCTCCCTGAAAGGCTTATTGTCAGATCTTTGGTATATGGACGGAGTGTCGTTCGTTCAACAGTGCCCGATCCACAGTACAAATTAGTGAGTTTCGAACTTCAGGAAAAGTACTAATGTGTAATATGAAAGTCTTCACTTGTTCGGCCGCTGGGGATCGTATTTAGCCCCGGGTTATCGTTTCACGTGCTGTGTGTAAACCATCTGACCCCATTCAGCCCTTGACAGCAATTCTGGGAAATTGTGTAAGATTATGGGTATATTGCGAAAAGGGTCTCATTGAAGGAGAAAGTTTGAGTGGGACGGAATTCGAGGGGGTTAGCAGGAAACTTTAACTCTCGAGTTGACGCGCTTTGCTTCCCACAAAATCTTCTTCACATGGAAAGTGCAGTCCAATGTACAGTTCTCAACTATTTCTGGACCGAATACGCCCACCGCCCGCGATTCGGTCTAGCGTTCGATTTGACTTTCAAAGTATGTTTATCACCATCTCGTGACGTGTTTTCGCTGATCGTAACGTGGGAAGAGTGATGCGTTAACGTTAATCAGTAACATCATCGCGCCGATAATGGCGTCCTTCTCCACTGGAACCACCCAAACAGTCTATAAATAGCCCATTGTTCTGATTAGGTGTGCAACTAGACGCTCAAATATTACATTACAGTTTCGAGTACCGCTTCTTTGCCGACAATAAAGGCACACATTGGTATCATGGACACTTCCAGACAGATCGTGGCGATGGTTTGGTGGGAGGTGAGAACACTACTGTTGCGCCATAAGCTGCTTTGCAACGCCACTTTCTCAAGTCGTGACTTAAGGATTCGTCGTGGTGACGAGGATGATAGGTCGGTACCAACGGATGCTAACGGCAAGAGGGAAGTCCCCAGTCGGGAGTACTTCGTTATGCTGCAGGTTAGTCATATTTCAATCTTGTTTCATCATTTTAGTCGTGGTATGTGGGGATAAGGACCGATTTGAGTAGCCCACCTCAAATTAGGAGTTCTTGAGAAGCAAATTCATGTACGCGTGGATTGGATGTACCTTAGGCCAGGGACAGGATAGAAGGGTATCTCGTTCCTTTACTGCGCCCCATGACAGCTGTGTTTCTACCCTAATGCAGTTAGGCGAATGAACGTTAAGATGATGCGTCGGTTGTTGCCAGTGTCGCCGGTGGAAGAGCCGCGAGAGGGCATTCGGCCACACCCCACTTGGCCCTTTTACCAATGGCGCTGGCGACCACCGCCCGCCGCCAACCATTGTGCGCCATTGCTCTCAGAAGAGCAAGTTATCGAGGAGTCGGCTCATGAACCCACTTAATAACTTCTCCTCAACAGAAAGACACCTCCAGTTGTGTTCAACCCTTCATAAAACAGAGCTAATACATTCAAAAGTGGAGGATAATATAAAAGAAGCTGTAGCCTCGGAGGCACAGACCGCTATGAAACACAGCTAGGTTAATATGTTCTGGACTCATATGGAAACTGATCGCCTTTCTTTCAATCAGCGGATTCACGTCGTCACGACTAGAAAAACGTTTTTTTCTGCCGTGTTGTGTTAAGCAAAGCACTTACGAGAACCTAATCTGGATAGCATCTCATCCCATTCGCTAGACGATCACACGGTCCGGGAGGCTTTAGGAAATTCAAGCATAGATTTCTTGGCTATGTGACTTATCACGGCCAAGAACCTTAAATCTGTCAAGTTTGCTGGTTCTTAAGCCACTTAAAGTTCACAGCAGCATAATAGTAGGTTGCCCGCCAGTCTTGCTCGAGGCGGACGGCTGGGGCGTGTCGAGGGGGGGGGTGTTTAGCGAGCACTAGCCTCCCATTTCTCATTCCCTCTAACAACTGGTGAATAATAGACTGGTCCCGCCCCTTGACACTCCCTGTCATCCGTAACGAACAAGATTATAGAAGTTTGCCACATTCCTACATATAAGCTTCTGGTCAGACTGAACACCACCCTCTGCAGACCTTGTGTACTGTTGGAAACTTGTACTGTAATTTGTAGGACTGGGCGACAGAGCCAGGTGACGAAGCATTCATGAAACTCAAAGAGAAGACCATGAAGTGGATGTATGGATTCGACAATTTCGAAAAATGCTGGCAACCAACGAGGACTGTGGATGGGGGTAAGTGGAAATTGTTTCAACTATCTTTCTGTCATAAAATGTGAGGTCACCACAAGATGATTACTAAGCTCAAATCTCACCGAGCAGGCCATGCATACCACGGATTTGAATCGTGCGCGTGTTATGCAGGCTTAGCTCTCGCCCGAGATCAAAGACTCGAGTAGGCCTACCGGGATCATTGGGTTTCTTCCAGACTACTAAGGATTGATCGACATCAAAATCTTTATTTCTCTGTAGCTTTAATCAGCTGATTCGCCACCACATCCACTCCTTGTTTGACAAACCAATCTTCTGTATCTCATCATTAACCTGGACTCTTGCGCGCACCAGGGGTGGAGGGGGGGGGAGGAAAGAGGAAGCTTCAGAGTGAGGCAGGAAGCGAAAGCGACGCCAACTTCGCTCTCCAGCTGTAGCCGGACGCTGCTGACTAGGCAAAAACTGTTGTACCGAAAAACTGAGTGCGTGCTGGGCGCTCCGAGCACGCGCTCAGTTTTGCGCGCATATAGGATGCTGTATCTCGCCTGGTTTCCCAAACTCACAATTCAGTGCGGAAGAGATTCATACATACTGCTGACTCCATCATCTGCCTAAAACAGAATACTGGACCCTGATTACCTTTAATGCTCCCCCTTTGAAAACCGAAGTCACCTTTTGAGTGAAAACCATTCCAGGGTTAGATTTTGCCGAAACATGCCTCTGAGTGTGATTTGATCATCTGAAGGCAAATACCGCACCTTTTTGGATCCAAAACGCTTAGTACAACAGGTGCCGGCTCTAGTAGCTCATCCACAAGGCGTTTTCGGGTGAAGCGGACATGCCATTCTTATTCAGACGGTTGGACAACTCCTTCCGACAAGGGATAGCAAATGTAGTGATCTGGAGTGGCGCCCCCGCCTGTGGCACGAGAGCCGAAACGTGCGAATGTGTGTTGAGGGAATCGAGCTTCGATCTCCTCAATACGCATCAGTATCCAACCAAAATCTGGTCTAATTTTCAAAAAGCGGGGCGGGAAAGGGTAAATAATGCAAAAGCTTCATATGTTTTGAGCTCGCCTAACTTGCTGGTTGTTTAAGGAAATGTCGGTGGAGCAGTTCCGATCTCAGCGTTACTCATAAACGATAAGGGCTGGCATAATAGGCAAGATATTATGGAGAGGCCGTGGGATTTGCCACTGGAGAGGTTCCGAATAAAACAAGGTAGTCAGGTAAGCAGTTTGCGTGGACAAGTTAAAGACGTCACATCATTTCCAGAAGAGCTCGTGTTGTTCCGGATCACTAACGGAGGAATAGCGCAGGAATTGATGCTACATATTGAGGGACATCCAGATGGTGATCGTTGCTGGCGATGGCAATGAGATGGTTCCACAACCGGTAGGTCCTAAGCTTTTGAAGCACAGACCACGCTGATCGCAAGGGTGGGGACGGTCAACCACTCCATCTTCCTAGGAATGACGCTTCCTTCCTTTGAATAATTTGGAAAAAGGTTCGCACCAATGGGAAAGGCGCAATACGCGGTTCACTGTCTCCGTCCATGCAGTCACAATAAACGGCGTATCCATGTGATTTTTGAATAAAAAAATAATCTTTGTTCAGATTGATCGACTCATCATCTTCCCTGGGGAAAGATATGACGTCCTCATACGGGGACTGAAGAACCCAGACAAGAAGAGCTATATGATGGTGGTAGAGACGATACAGTATTATTTCTTCGACTGGTCTCGGGTCGATACAGACTATGGAGTGGCATTCCTTGAATATCAAGACGACAACCTTGTTGAGGACAGGACACCTCGTGAGTTTTTAGCTTCGATTAGGCACTACAGCTGTCTAGGTGATGCGAAACGGGCAAGGCACTTCCTGCCGTTGGGGAATTGTTTTGCAGAATACGATTCTCCCCCTCAAGAAAATGTCCTCCTCTCATGCGACCCTCCTTCCTTGCCAGCTTTATACTACCTAGCA